TCTTTTCTTTCTCCCCTCTCTCACTACCGGTCAATAAAAGACATTTTTCAACACCCTCAGATACCTATTCAATACACAAAAAGTGAACACGCACATACACACACACACACGCTCGCGCACGCTGAATTCCCCCCCCCCCTGTCCCCCCTCCTGACCCTATGTAGATGCTTATATGTTTATGTAGGTTCATGTCTAAATGTACAAATGGGTCTATAATGTCTGTGCTGTAATAAATTGTATACGCCAAAAAAAATAAAAAAATATAAAATAAACCAACACAGCTCATCACCCTGAACACACCATCCCCACTGTCAAACATGGTGGTGGCAGCATCATGCTTTGGGCCTGCTTTTCTTCAGCAGGGACAGGGAAGATGGCTAAAATTGATGGGAAGATGGATGGAGCCAAATACAGGACCATTCTGGAAGAAAACCTGTTGGAGTCTGCAAAAGACCTGAGACTGGGACGGAGATTTATCTTCCAACAGGACAATGATCCAAAACATAAAGCCAAATCTACAATGGAATGGTTCACAAATAGACGTATCCAGGTGTTAGAATGGCCAAGTCAAAGTCCAGACCTGAATCCAATCGAGAATCTGTGGAAAGAGCTGAAGACTGCTGTTCACAAACGCTCTCCATCCAACCTCACTGAGCTGAGAAGAATGGGCAAGAATTCCAGTCTCTCGATGTGCAAAACTGATAGAGACATACCCCAAGCGACTTGCAGCTGTAATTGCAGCAACAGGTGGCGCTACAAAGTGTTAGCACAAGGGGGCCGAATAATATTGCACGCCCCACTTTTCAGTTTTTTATTTCTTAAAAATGTTTAAATCATCCAATACATTTTGTTCCACTTCACGATTGTGTCCCACTTGTTCTTGATTCTTGACAAAAACATTTTTTTTATATCTTTAAGTTTGAAGCCTGAAATGTGGCGAAATGTTGAAAGGTTCAAGGGGGCCGAATACTTTCGCAAGGCACTGTATGTGTATATATGTATATGTGTATATATATGTATGTGTATATATGTATATATATATATATTAGTGCTGTCCAAAATATCGCGTTATTAACGTGTTAACGAAAATCAATATTAACGGCGTCATTTTTTTTATCGCGCGATTAAAAAAAATAAAAATAAAATCTTTTTATTATTTTTTTTTTTTTTACTTTTTATTGCAGACAAACACATATACAGAAAAAAAATAGAAACAAAGAAAAGGACTAGTTCAGATACATTGTAGACAGAGATTACAAACAATATGTAGTTGGAGATACAGGGGGCCAAAGAAGAAACCCAGAAGGGCACATAGGAGGGGGGGGGGACATGAAGTGGGAGATGGGGGGGAGGGGTTAATAAAAAAGGCAATACAAGCAAACAGTATACAGTCATAGATATACCGAAAGTAAACAGAGAAACAGCATAGAGTATTTACATGAACAAATTTACAAAATATTTACAGATTGTTTATCATCATCATAATGACACCATGATGTTTCTATACAGTCTATGGTCTATACCAGGGGTTCCCAAAGTTTTTAGCCCGCGACCCCCATCATAAATGCCCTGCTAACCCGCGGGTGGGCTCCCTCCTCAGCAGAAGTGGAGCGCATTTCTTGCGGCTCGCCATCACTGTTCTCCTACCGCGGTAAAGTGGGCCGGCTTTCCGGAGTCAGCGGTAAAGAGGTCCGCACATTAAAAGCGGGCGGCCGCTTTCTGCTGTTACTTTATGCGGTTCATCCCCGCGGCTTCTCTTTCCAAAGTTACTGTCAGTAAAGGCATAAACCGGCCACCCGCTTTTAATGTGCGGACCTCTTTACCTTTGACTCCGAAAAGCCGGGCCTCTTTAACGCGCTGTTCTACCGCTGTCCTCCCTCCCTCCTCTGCCCTCTCTCCCTCCGCTGCCCTCTCTCCCTCCGCTGCCCTCTCTCCGTCCTCTGCCCTCTCTCCGTCCTCTGCCCTCTCTCCCTCCTCTGCCCTCTCTCCCTCCGCTGTCCTCCCTCCCTCCTCTGCCCTCTCTCCCTCCGCTGCCCTCTCTCCCTCCTCTGCCCTCTCTCCCTCCTTTGGGAACCACTGGTCTATACCCACACACACACATACACCCCACAGATACGATAAGATATAAAGTCTGCCCGCCTGAGTTTCACCAAGCTAAGCGGAACCCAGCCAACATCAAAACCAAATCCGACACACACACAGACCACCAAGCAGGCCCCCACCCCAAAAAGGGGGGGAGGGAGCCCACGCCCGGCCCATTCCCTCTCTTATTTTGTTCCTTTTTCCCAAGTGTTTTTCTTAACTAAACGTGTCATGCATTAAAATAAGCTTTCGTTTACCCTGACTTGTGTATTATCATTATATGCACATATGCACATATTATTCATGTTATTATTATATTTATCTACTTATTCATTCATTTTTTATTTTATTTTATTATTTTATTTTAATTAATTCAAGGGACATAAAGAATAGATACAAATGTGTGACTAATTTGAGATTAATCGCGAGTTAACTATGAAATTCATGCGATTAATCGCGATTAAATATTTTAATCGTTGGACAGCACTAATATATATATGAAGAGTTTGGTTCCAAAATGCTATAAATCTATTTTGATCAATTTGAGTAAAACTGCGTTTTCTATAGCAAGAAAATGATATGATGAAAACCACTATTTTCTGTTCCAAATCTTCATATAGCATCAGAAGGTTATAATAACATAAACAATTCAAATCAAATTTTTATATTTAAAGATTTATTTTAAAAAACATTATTTTATTTTTTTTATCAAAACGCAACAAATCCATGGCATGCATTTTTTTTAACAAAATGCTATAAATCCATTGCAGCAATACAAACTTTTTTTTTAACCTGTGCACAAAGTACAATAAAAAACATCAAATGTTGATCTACATTAAGAACTGTAACAATACTGATTCAATATTTTGGTCCACAAACAACCCATTTAATCAAAAACAGTGTGGAAAAGTGCATTCATAACAAACAACAAGAACACGTATGGAAAAAATAACCAAAATCCCATTCTTCTTACATTCAAACTTCCATGTTAAATTCATTTTTGCATTTTTTAACACAATACATTAATTATGATGTCATTGTATTTTATAAATCATCCCGTTGATAAAAAAAAAAAACATTTCTGTAAACAATTGTGCATAACTATACAAGAAAGAAACAGTGCAATCTCATTCAAAAAGGTATTTTTTTCTCTCTCCTATTCTTCATGACTGTCACTGTCAACATTCACCTGTGACAGTGCATCACTGTAAAAGGCACGCACACCATCGCTCGCACCAATTTCACGCAGCAGGTTCAGCACGTCTCTTCTCTTTGCTTCCTTCACTGTGCTTTCATTGGCCAGTTGACCTGGCTTGAAGCTTGCCCAGGTTTTCCCTCTCTTCAGAACAGAGTGTATGCAGTAATCACCGTTATACACAGCCTTGAACCCAACCTTGCCATTTTTCAGCTCCAGCATTCTTGCTTCACTTAACTTAAAGGACTTCTGTGCCTTTACAAAAGCCCTGGTCTCCTCATTGAAATCATAAGCCTGCCAGTGTTGCCCGTAGATATGAACCTTTCCATGATTTTGCAGGATCTCATAATACTCCTCTGGCATGAGGATGGTGTCCTTTCTCCGTATCTGTTGCTCAATCCTCCCAAAAACACGAGCCACAGGCAGAAAACTGTGCCCCCTGATAGGAAACACGAACTCTGCTCCAATCCCGGGACATTCCGCTTTCATCAAGGCAAACAGCATGCTTAGCAGGTTCATATTTTTGTTCTGACCAAAACTGATGTAAATGTGTGGGGGTTTTAATTTTTTATTATATTTATATGTATTGTCTTTTTTATCCGCTGTTTTGCTACTAAGGACAACTGAATTTCCCCTCGCTGGGATGAATAAAGTATCTATCAATCAATCAATCAGTCGCAGCCTTTGGGCGCGGTGAACAGCACCACTCAACTCTTCACGGAAGCAGTGGTCCAAGGCAGAAGCAGTCATGTTGCTCCCTTTCCTGTTCTCATGCTCCATCCAGGTGTAAAGATGGACATCCTCCATGGCTTGTCTACTGCCCTCCCCATGGTGGACAACGACTCCAAATACATACATATAGAGCTGCCGAGAATAATAGGCCTGACCAATGGGTGTTCTAGGTAGCAGCAAGTTCTGCATCATGTCAAAGCAGACCGTCACCGCATCGTGGTCTACTTTACCCAGCAGATCATAAAAAACTCGTGCTCTTCTTCTATGTAAAATGTATGTTGCTAACTCCCTACGTTTTTCATCGTCAGATAAGCTAGGGTCCTTAACTCGGTGGTGAAATTTAACGCATGATGAACAGGCATCAGTAGCTGGATGGCCAAATCCTAAATTGAACTGATGTCGGAAAACGGAGTAATAAAGGGAGTAGCTCACAAGATTGTGATTTTGCTGGTCGAATAGTTTGTGCATTTTTGTCACACTGAGGTCACTGGGCAGGTACTTGCGACCAGGTGCTCCCCTTCTCCCATAATGGCTAGCCCTGCATGTAAAGGTTTGGATGTGATCCTTTACAAGTTGTTTCTTCAACTCATTTTCATCCACTTTACGTGCACCACCTCTGTGTTCTGGTCTGGCTGTAGCATGGACTGCATAATACTTTGCCACTCGAGCCACGCGGTCTTTGCCAATACCTGCAAGATAAGAACATTATTATTTTTTGCCTATATGGTATTAATTTATACATGTGTGTTTGTTTGTATTTATTTATTATTATTGGTATTGTATCTATTTATTTGTTTAATTATGCATTTAATTATTTGATTATTTTATAAAGTTATGTATAGTTATGCATACATCTCAGACACTTAAATGGTAGTCAATCAGTGGTGAATTTTGGAGGTAAATAAATTAAACAAACTTAAACCATTAAAACTACAGGAGAAGCTCAGCGTTCTTTAAAAATCACAGGAAATTGCATCAAATAATGCTTTATAACCTGGATGCATGCTAATGCTGAATGTGAATTCATGAATAGGACAGTCTATAGTTAGGACAGACCTGTCTCACTTGCACTTTGATACATGCCAGGCTACCTTAAAAGTACGTGTTGTGAATTAAGCTGCTGCCATATATTATTTCGAGTTTGAATGTGTTATCTGTTGGAGGAAAAGCATTCTAACATTTTTAAATGCTGTAAAAATGTGCATAAGTAATATTATATATTTCAACATTTCTGTCAACGTAGTGCGCGTCATATCCTGTGACGCGGCCCGCGCCATGCGGCCGCGGCTGTAAACAAACCGGCGTGTGTGCATCATAGACTGTAAGTGCGCACGGATCCCAAAGCTAAAAAGAGAAAGAGTCGATGATAAGACTGGACTAAGAATGAGAATGAACATTTGCTTTTAGTCAATGAGGAAGGACTGCTTCATGTTTGTAATGAGAGGTTTTGTTGCAACACGAGGAACAATGACGCGCAAAAACACAGTTCACGGTGAATACGTGAAGGATTCATTCATCAAAAACTCAGAGCACCTATTTTTTTACTTCAAAAACCTTCGCAAAGACGATGAAAGAAAGGGCCATTAAGGACATTTATTCAGCTCCAGGAAACTTCAGCCTGTGACGTGATCGATATGAGCAGACAGTAATGCAGGTAAGTGAACTCTGAGCCAAAAAGCAGATTTATTTACTGTATTTTGACAATTGCATGAAGGCAAAAAAATGGAAGTTAAACTTAAAGCAGAGTTTTCACGTGGTGCGACACGCTGCAGTAATACTCATTTGATAATCATGAATGCTTATTATGTATTTGTAGCCTTTGTCATTTAGATATTAGGCTAATATAGCTAATACAGCTTCAGCCTGTGTTACCTTCATATAAGCCTTATAAGGCTGTTATTTTTTGCGGCTCCAGACGGATGTTGTTTTTGTTTTTTTGTCAAATATGGCTCTTTGAACCTTTTTGGTTCCCGAGCCATGATCTAGACATTTAAATGTGACATCGCTGCTTAGTAAGCTTCACTGTTCTCCCTGCTATAGAAAGGAGCGTTACCAATGATACAATACGAGCAGGCAGGCACCACTAAATCTTCAATAAACTACTTGTTATATAGGCTATTAAAACAAAATTGAACTCACCCAATACGCTGCAAAAGGTGGCCTTGCAGACTGGAATCTTCCGGGGATGGTCTTCAGTCAGTAAATCATATTGCGTCGTGACATCCCTATTCTTTCAACTGCCGGTTTCGTCAACTTTCGGACGTCTCCGTTGGACTTTTTTTACGGTAATAAGTTGCAACATTGCTTGGTCTTGCTTGATTTTCGTTGGGTCATCGTAAAAAATGTCAAAGTTTCTCTGTATATCGCCTGGTGTCAATGTGTCAGCGTTACAGAAGTTTGAGTCTTTGGTGTGTTTACAGATGACAGCCGGCATTTTCCCCCCTCCCGAGTGCTTCATCTTCTTAATAGTCTCACGGCTGTGATTGTCTTTAGACGGTTTACGTTTCCTACCAATAGCAGAAATCACCACAGGCTCATCGATGTCATCAAAATTATTCATTGTCGTTTATTTCCTCTGTATATTGCAAAGTAATCTCTGATACCAGATCTTTTCAGGGCGCCGCCATAGTTGTTTGTTAGACGTGGAATGCTACACTGTGATTGGTCGAGTGGATTTGTCGTGTTCTGCGGAAAAGGTGGATTGGCGTTTATCGCTGTTTGGAAAGAATGGGAGAAAGCAGGACGGAATAAAACGGCGGATATCGCGTTTTGCAGAAAACTGAATATGGAGTTATCAACAGTGGCCAAATACACTTCATTTCTTTTAAAAATGGCGTTTATCGCGTTTTGGAACCAAACTCTTCATATATACATTTCAACCTGTCGCCTAAGGGAACTGTACTGTGCCACACGCTTTAAAGAGTCGACCATCATTCCAGTCCAGAAAAACTCCTGTGACATGCCTGAATGACTATCGTCCTGTGGCTCACGTCGGTTCATTATGAAAAACTATGCGGCTGATTGTGCCTTCTTTAAGAGCCCAGATCCCTGTGAGTGTTGGACCGCTCCAGTTTGTTACAGACAGAACAGGAAATTCCACATTCGACCTCTCTCTCGTTTTCTGCTGCTGAGTGTGGAGGATGCCATCTCCTCTTGCTCTGAACTCTGTCAACACTTCACTTGACACTAGTTAAATCTGTCCGCGAGAGAATGCTTTTCATGCGATCTATAGCTCTGCTTTTAACTGCATTGTTCCATGGTTAAAACTGATTGAAAAAGCTCATGTCTCTCAGTTTAAGTGTTGCCAGTGTGTTCGTAATGGATTTTTAGCTTTTTAACTGTCAGATCTCAGAGAGTGAAAATCAATGACTGTTTTTCTGATGTTGTTTCTGTGAGCACTGGTTCTCCTCAGGGATGTATTTTTGAGACCTGTGCTTTTTACTTGTACACTCCACGATTGTGTGTCCTCCTCTGACTCAAAACTTGATCATTCAAATATGCTGTTGCACACCACCATCATCGGTACTCATCAGTGTACATGATGAATCCTCTTATAGAGCAAGAGATACAAAATGTGGTTTCAGTGGAGGTTAAAACTAACAACCTCCAGTTGAACGCATCCAAAACATGTGAACTGGTCTACGACTTCAGTCGCAATAGTCTCATTTGCCTGTCGTAATCGACAACTCCCAGGTGCAGATCGTAGAGGAAGTGCAAGTTCCTGGGTTTAACTATACAATACAATACAATACAATTTATTCTTGTATAGCCCTAGGTCACAACAGAAGTCATCTCAGAGGACTTAACAAAACCATTGAAATCACCAACACAGGTCAGAGAATCAACAGTTAAAACACATGAAGAATACAGTATAAAGCACACACAGAAGAAAATGTCCATACATGTTGTAGAATGCTAAAGTGTCCTGATCATCACCAATCCTTTCTGTTGGACACTAACTGTCCAACAAGACCCTCCTGCATCGACAAGGAAAAACTCTTAAAAAACCCAGTGGGAAAAAGTGAGAAACCTTGGAGGAGAACTAGGGAAACCCACAGGGAGGGAGACCCATATGAGAAAGGGATCCGCTCCTCCGGACGGACAGACTAATGATCTAGGACCTAAGCTAGCTACAGAACGTGGACCAGTGGACGCTGAACGTGGACAGGTCCGGTGCAGGACCGAAGCACTCCCAGGCGGGTCGGGCGGGGCAGTCCGCAGGTGTAGATGGAAGAGGCCAGGCTCAGAGATCCCGTCATCGTACCATGAAACAGACAATGGGACAACGGGTGAATAGCAATGAACAAACTACAGTCAGAATCCTAAAAATGCTAAACAGATAAAGTAGGAAGGAGGAGAGGATAGTGCTCAAGTTACCATACTTCTCCCAGCAAACTGACTCCCTATGCAGCTTGACTAACACTCTGAGGAGTTTAACCTTCTCCGAGTCTTACCTTCCTAGCCATATGCTAAACTAAAGAGGACTGTTTTAAACCTAGCCTTGAATAAAGAATAACATACAGCATAATATATAACATAATATACAACATAACACAATACATTATTGAATAATATATAACATAATATATAACATAATACAGCATATATATATAATATATACACTACATATTATATATTACCTAATTATATGCTAAATTAAAGTAAAGTGCTTTAAGCCTGGCCTTGAATGTGGAGACCGTATCTGCTTCCTTAACATAAATGGGAAGCTGATTCCACAGTAAAGGAGCTTGGTAGCTAAATGCTCTGCCACC